GAAAAAATCAACTTCATGTCATTTATCTTTTGCTTCAGTCAAAGCAATTGGAGGAAAACTGCACTGGTCATTTGATATATTACCAAACATACAGTTATGAAATTTGTATAGCTTCTGAGCTTAATAAATTGCCAATGTCATTAAAAATAAGTTATTGGAAAGTATTGATGTGAGCAATCAATCTGCTGTAAACAAATAGCAGCCTTTTCTGTTAAACACAACATAATGCACTCTTTCCTTGCTGACCTGAGCAATGAAACAAATGGAGGCAATGCTATCCAAGTTTCATGAGAGCACCATGGAGACTACTGGTTGCAAATATATCAGCTGAGCAGGAATGGGCAACTTGTAGGCTTCCAAATGTTTTGGCTAACAACTTCTAGCAGTATCAGCCAGGGTAGCTAATGGAGGGGGAACATGGGAGTTATAGGTCAAAATATGTGGAGTTGCTGATCCCTGAAGTAGAGCAAGCAAGCATGGAGGCACAAGGCAGCGGACCTGTCACTACACGTTTGATTCTGGGGGAGCTTGGGGATACTCCCAAGGGGTCTTCAGGCAATGCACACTCTCCCTCTGTCATTTTCAAATGGCCAGCTCAGAACAACACAAGCACATGCCTTTACATAATGCCTTTGAATACCTGTAACTGTACATCACAGGGTGCCAAGAAGTAAACAGGAACCTCTCCAGATGTTCTTAGAAAAATGTGTTGCCAATCATAATTTTTACAAAAGACCTTATCTTACCATAAATTATATAGGTTAGCTGGGAGCAGCTGATCAGTGGATTCTAGCAAGATAAAAATTGTTATCAGTCCCAGTAGAGGTGGGCATTCACTTCTGGCTTTGGGTCCTTATGTGTAAAAGCAGTATCTATAACTTTTGAAAGTCTTTCTCATCTTCATCTGAGGATAATTCTAGGCTGCTGTGTGGCGATAGAGTTGTGAAAATGAGCTATTAGAAAAACAAATTTTGTCTTCAATTATCCTTCCTTTATATGGTGCAATTCTTATGTCCTTTTTTCCAGTTTACATTATCAGTCAGTTTCCCATTTGTTTGTTTGTTTGTTTGTTTCCTTTTCCTTTTTTGCAATGCTTCTCTGGATCTTAGAACTAATTTCCCCTGCATTTTGTCAATTTTCTGCTAGCTATCAAATGACTTACTCAAGCATGACAGGGTAATTCCATCTTTACTCATATCTTAAAAGATATCTATGTAATTAGGACAGAATTGAAAATTGATCATCTGGATTGGACTCAACATTTTGTATTGATTAGTTGAGGTAATGCCATATGAACATTTACAAAGGTAATTGGAAATAGACAAAAATGCTAATATATTATCAATATTATTTTAAATGGATTTCAAGCTTTCTGTACTTAGGTCTCTCACATGTACCACATATCATGACTTGAAAAAGAAAGAGTCCCATTCTGTGAGATAGCTAATACTATGATGTATGAGCAAATATCCTTGTTTGTTTGTTTAGAGTCTTGCATAGAGAAGACAATAATTTGTAATAATACAGAGCACATCTGCCACAATCCAAGCTTATGTGACACAGACCATCTACTTCCCTTCAAACGTGACATTCTTCCCTAGTTCTGGTCTGCCCTCTCCTCCTTTAGCCTAGGACTATCACACAAACTAGACAAAAGAGAAAAGTCATCATATTTGTTGTGTATCATCCACAAAAATCTGGGAATCCTTGAGATTGCATCAGCACATCATGAAAAGAAAAGTAATTCTTTTCCCCATTCAGTCAGTTGACATAGCTTTCATCTTGTCTTGAAATAGTGCTGTTTTCATATGTAAGGTGGAACTAATGCCATACCATACTACTTCACTTCCAAAACCATTGAGGTTGTGCAAACATGCTCCCCAAGGTCCTACAAAACCTCAAGCGGGGTTGCAGTTGCTTGGAAAGTATGTTGCATAAATATGATGGCGGCCAGTTGTCCCCCTTGTGTGTCAAGTGGGGTAATGGACAGTACTCCTCTTCCCATTTCTTAAATGACTAAGAGGAGTGTGGGAAAATGAAGAAACCTCCCTGAAGATGGAGAACAGCTAGAAAGGCTCTCTGTTGTCACAATTGTGCAGTGCATTTCATTTCCTGCTGCACAATCATGGGATTTCTAGAGCAGCCTTTCCCCTACAGTGGGAAAAATGCACTTCTATCATCAGCCCCTGTCCATCTTGGGGTGGCTTCCTCAGCTTGCTGTTATCTCTCCCTCCCCAAAGTGAATCTGGTTTTGGATGAGGGGTGGGGTGGGTGCAGGATAGTGTGACCTTAATGAGTAAATATGTGCATGGAGGCTTGCTTGTGGCAGTGGCAGGGAGGTGGTGGTTAGCTCCATTCCCTTCAGTTTGGCTTGCACCTTAGCATTTGAACAAGGACTGCTTGCAGAGTTGGCCACTGGAGGTCAAATTCTCACAATAGTGCTACTTGTGGTTCATGTGTCAAGTATGTTAAAAATTATGAAAGCCATGAACATAGATGACCTTGGCTGTTTGTTACGCTGCTGCCTATTATATGTGAGAATCTGTGTAAATAGAAGCTTCCTCTGCCACTATAAAGTCCTTGTTTAATATTGTATTTATATTTTAAAGTTTTAAAAATCATCTATTGCTTTGTGACTTTCATTATACCATGTTAAGGCATCCTCAAGTGACCTTCAAATGCAGCAGCTGGACAATCCCTCAAGTATCCAACACAGCCCAGGTTGCAGCACATGGCAATGCAACAGTCCCATTAACAGTTAACAATAATCGTGGGAATAGTTAGCTCTTGCATAACATGTTCACATATTGCTGTACCAATCCTTCCCTTCTGTTGCAGAATCATTAGGGGCATTCCATTCTGGCAGAAGAATAGAACTGCATGACTAGCATTCCCACACCAGCAATTCAAATTTCTTTTTACTTATTTTCCTACATTACAAACCCTTGCTGCCCTGTCACTGAAGTCCCTCAACATTTTTTTTTTGTAATTTCACCTTTAAGCTGTGAAAATCTTGACCTTCTGAGTGTTCATTAATGTGCTCATAGTTACATTCCTGTTTAAGGAGCAAACATTGTAACTAAGGCAACAGATGCTCCATCAATTTAGGAATAAGGACAGTCTATTTTGGCTCCCCTTTTCTTGGTATATGAGTACAACATTTTTCACTTTGATGAATGGATTGCCCTGTTTATAATTTTTATTACTAATGAACAGAAGTGTTCAATAAAAATGACATGACAAAAATGTATGACGTTCACGTCTTTCATGTTGAAGTAAATGAACCCTATTGCTGAAGTGGTTTCAGGGACAATAGTCTCAAAGTTTACATTTGGGAGCTTTTGAAAATAGTTTGACAACTTGTTGTGACTAGAATCTTTCATCCTGAGATCTGATGCAGCTTAGCTTAGTCCAGCCTTTCCCAGCTACATTTCTGATAATAAGGCCATGCCAACCGGGTAGGGTGTGAGATGCAGTTTAACACATCTAAAGGGTAACAGGTTAGAGAAGGCTGGTTTATTTAAAGCAGATAAGGCATATGCGATTGGACATATTACTTTTGCCTTCAGAGGGCTGAGAGGATTGTGTTTAACACAATGAGTAAGATTCTACTTGCATTTGGAAATGTTACTTATGCAAATTTGTTTATACATAGTGGAGTGAGAGAGGCTCCTTTTATTAACTGTTAGATCTAAAAAGCTCAATTGAATAGTACTAATGCCTATTTTAATCTTCTGGCACCTATGTGGAAGCAATGGTAGCCAATTTTCATCTTACCCTACCTGTTCACACAAAATAATTTCTTTCGTTACGTCTTTGACACATGAATGAATACTTGTGACTCCAAAATTTTGTGTGAGGCAAAAGCATTGTTTGGAACACATTTCTCACCATTGTGAATGACACAAAGGTTAGAACCAGTGACCACAATTACAAAATGTTCACTCCCAGTTGACCCACTCATAGTGGTCTTCAAATATATAAAAGGATGCCATGCAGAAAATTGAGCACTTGTGCACTCTGTTGTTCCAGAGGGTAGACTAGAACCAGAGAGTGGAGATTACAGAGAGCAGATTTTAGCTAAACGCCAGGAGAATTTTCTTAACAGTAAGAGTTGCTCAGGAATAGAAAAGACAGTCTTTCAATATGAGGGGCTCTCTTTACTGTGATTTTTCAAGCAAAGGCTAGGTGTCCATTTCTTAGAGATGCTCTAGCTGCAGATCTTGCCCTGAACAATGGGGAGGATTAGATGTCCTTCAAGGTATCTGCTAGCTGTGATTTTTCTGACTTCTACCTCTTGCTCATGGAGACATGAATTACAGGGCTTAAATCTTATGCCCTGGACTCAGGCAGAGCCCAGACTCCTTGCCCACCTTGGATGGTTGAAACAACAATTGCTAATTAAGAACTCCTTTTTTTAACTACACTGATACCATCCTGCTTTCCTTGAATTCAGTATAAGGTGTTTTGTTTGGTTGGTTTTTGAGGGGACAATGAAAAGTTTGTTTCTTCCCTCCTATATTATTATATACTGAGCAGCAATATTCTTAATTTAATGACTATGTTTTATAATTACTGTTTCAATTATTGCTATTGTGTACAGGTTAAGGCATCACTTAAATTTTGCATGCTCCTTTCAAAAGAGGTGGAGTGGGTGGCTATTAAAGAGAAAGCCTTTTCACTGATGGTTTCCTGGTTGTGGTATGTCTCCCTGCACCTCACCAAGAGGGGCTTGCTTAGTGCTTTTGTTGCATTCTTTTCAGCAGTAGGTGAAGACCGTTTCATTCTTCCAGGCTTTCTAGTCTTTCAGTTTGAAAAAACTCTTAAGGCACAGTCTTATGCATGTTTGGATAGAAAAATGATCCTACAGTTCCAGTGCCCTCCAGCCTGCAATGCATGCTGGCCATTACTACATCTTGGGGTACTGAGCCACATCATTTTTTTAAGTACGGAACACTTGACATGCTGCTCTTCACAGAGTAGGTCCCTTGTCTTTTCAGATTGTGATCCAAAAATAAGAAGCATCAATAAAACTCAAGCGGTTGAAATAGCATTCATGTTGTATCCTCCTTGTGGTCTCAAATTAAAAACTGCAGCTGTTGCCAAGTCAACATGGCTGAAACCAATCATTGATGGTGAAGATGGTTACAGATATTTAGGTAAGTTATTATTATTAGCCATTTCTGAATATAGCAGGTGTCTGAGCATTGAAAGAGCAAACAGACTATCTTTGGGCAGCAATGAATGTGTGTTGCTCTATATATTTCTATCTACATCTGTTCAGCTATTGGAAATATTTTATTTAAATGCAACTAGCATTATTCAGATGCTTTAGCATAATCACTGCTTGGAGACTTGATAGGAAGTGCCATTTCTCAAGTTTGTTTAAAGGTAAGATCTTGAAAATGTGAATTTCAGCAGCAAAATCAGGGACAAATTTAGCTGTGTAAGAATTAGGCAGAAGAAAGTTTGCCTTGAAAAGCTCAACACTGCCTATGCATAATTTGTAATGCTGTTGTGTGATATTTTAAAAAGAGAATTAGGCACATAAAGAGTGTGCCATTATTGTGGCTAACTGCTTGTGTCTATTCTTTCAGTGAGCTATAACTTTGTGGTGCTACATATAACTCATGTGTGCATAATCCCAATATTGGCACCATAAGGACATGCTCACAAGCCAAGAGGAAGTGTTTAGGAAGAGTGACCTAATGACCTGGCTAGCCAGTGTAAATAAGATAAGGAAGAAGAATGACTAATGAAGAATGGAATTATTGCAGAGAAAGGATCAGGCATAACCAGAGGATATTTTCCCTTAAAGAGATTAGACAAAACAACCCTGCAAGGAATAGCTGCCATCAGAAGGGCACCAGACATCTGGCAATGACCTCATCAATAGCAGCCAGCAAATGCAGACAAAGTCACATGTTTTTACCAATGGAAAACAGACATGATCAGGTAGCAAACAACAATGGTTAGGGTCATCAAGAGCAATCGAGCAATTAGCATAAGCCTGAGAAACAATGGGAACCTCCTGCTCTTATAGAAGCGAACAAGGGGGAAGGGTATAAGAACAAGAGTCTTTGAAAATGGGTTGGGGCAAGCTCCAGAGCAGCAACCAACTTGGAATAGGGATTTTGTGAACCCCTTCCTGCCCATGCAAGGGACTGCACAGGACGACTGGCGGACGGATAGTAGCCATCCCTTTCTGTGCATAAGGCTATTAGGCAGCTTTACCTGTTTAGAAATTCTTCTCCAAAATTACTTGTGCATAACCCAGGTGAGCTATTATTTTTTATGTAAGCAAGTAGTTTTATGTTGCTTTCTGGCTTCATAAGAGTCCCAGAAAGCACAAGGAAAAGATACAATGGAAATAAACATATAATAAAGACAATCAATTAGGAGCAAATGTTGTCACTAGGTGTGTGATGCAACAGTGTGATCAGGCCATTATTATTCATGCTTTGGTTACATCAGTGGTGGGCAGCTTGTGGTCCTCTAAATATTCTGGCTCACGATGCCCTTCACCTTTCACGTGGCTAGGCTGTTTGATAGGAGACGTAGGCCAAAATATATGGCGGGACCACAAATGACCCTCCCCTGGACATGCTGGACTATAAATATGCCTTTGATGGAGCAGCCTTTGAAAAATATTCTGCAGAATGTTGCTGATGTTCCCTCACCCATCCCTTCAATCAGTGTCCCTGACTTTTATGGTGCTTTGTCTCTCCTATAAACTGTCCTTGCCCTCCTGCTTGCAAGAGGAACTCCAGACATACTAGAGATGTGCAAGTCTCTGTCTCAAACTACAGGACCTACTTTAACTGCAAAAGCACACTTTCTTTGTTCTAAAATGGGGCCTGGGCCAACAACTCAGCATGCTGCTAGTCCTGCTCTAACACTCCTTCTAGCTGGTGCCAGGAAATCTCACAAGATCTGGAGATGATACAAGGAAGTACATTTCCATACATAACTTCAAGGATGCTGTGTAATTTAGTTTCATTTACCCCTCCCATGGTAATGGGATGGCAGCCTGGGCTACCCCTGCCTCCCAAAAATGTTCCTCCATTACATTTGGGCCCCAATTCTTTTCCAGCTGGGGCTTTGAGCAAGAGGAAAACTAGAGGCACAATCACAAAACAAAGCATGTGCAGCTTTTGTTAAGATTCCAATCTCAGCAACAGCCCCCGTCCCCCCACCCAGATTCCTCTGGACCAAAATAATGAAGGTGAAAAGTTCTCTCTCAAGAAGGAATTGCAGACATTTGTCCCTCTTCTCCTACCTTTAAACCTGGAAAGGTGAGCTTTTGCTAGGACTGTTTGATGAGAGAAAGGTCTTCTTCAGGAAATCTTTATGGATTTTCTACCCTACATGACTAGATATTGTATCTTTTTGAGTTACAATGGTTATTAAACTACTTGACAAGAGAATTGCAGCAGTTGCCTTGAAACGAGATTAGTCTATTAAAGAAAATCCTTCTGTGGCACAGAAACTTTTCTTCCTGTAAACATTGTTGGAAAGATAGCCCTGAATATTTATTATATGCTTCACTATTTATTCTCAAGATACTGACACAAGTCCCAGGCCTTCCTTGTTTCTTGATTCCATTTCCGTGACTTCTGTAAACTTTCTATAGTTATGTGTACAGCAAAGAACTGAATGTTTATTTACAGATATTGTATTTTGTAGTAGTTTTATGTTCCATGCCCATGTACCTGGGAATAAACCATGCTGAAATCAGTGGAACATAATCTGATGTGTAGGATAGTTCTGTTGGAGGACTTCAGATCTGATAAAATTCAAGTCTCAAGCTAGAATTAAACATTGCAAGAGCTGTGTGGCTACTGCCAACAAGGCAAGCCCATATTCTCCAGCCTTGATTTCTGAAACATCTAGTACTACAGAATAGTTGATATTCTTTCACCATATTGTTGGATAAATCCAGAGTAACCCTTCTACCATTTGCAGAGAGAGCTTAGATCCTGGGAACGTGTGTGGCTCAGCATTGGAGCTCATGGTTTGCATGCTGAACATCTCAGCTTCAATGTTTCCAGGCTGACCAGGAAACCCTGTCTGAAACCATGGAGAGCTGGTAGCACTCCATATCTGCAAACCTGGTCTAGATAGTCCAATGAACTGTCTCAGTATAAGGCAACTTCCTATTTTCCTTCATCCACTATTTCATGAACAGGTCTCTCCTTTTCTTCTTCACCAGCAAACTTAGATGAGACTTTAGAAGCACGGTCTTTTTATTAAAGTTTGAGAGGTTACACAACAGTACAAATCGAAATACAGTGGTACCTCGGCTCACGAATGCCTCAGTTTCTGACCAAATTGGGTCACGAACAGACATTTCAGAAAAATTTTGCCTCAGTTCGCGAACTCCGCATTGGGTGATGGCCATGATCGCAGCCATCTTCCCTGCACGAGCACACCCGCGATCACGCCCATCTTCCCACACAAGCGCATCCGTGATTGCGCCTGTCTTCCTGCACAAGCGCGACTACGATTGCATCCATCATCCCTGCATGGATTGCGGCCATTCCCCCTGCCCCCACCGCAGCATGATCGCTATCGCACGATTATGTTTTGGACTCTCCCTCCAAACAATAACCTCCCTCCACCTAGTGTTCTCTACTGTACTGTACTTTGTTTTCTTTGTTAATTTGTTTTAAATTTTTGTGATTAAAAAATATATTTACAGAACTGATTAACCTTATTTACATTGAACCTTATGGGGAAATTTGAGTTGGCTCATGACCACATTTGTAGGGGTCAGAACGGATTAACCTTATTTACATTGAACCTTATGGGGGAATTTGACTTGGCTTTTGACCGATTCAGGTAGCAACCAGAGTCATGGAATGGATTAAGTTCGTGAGACCAGGTACCACCGTAGTATTTTCTGTTTCAGTTGTGAAGTGCATTTCCTTCCCTCAATTTCAGAAAGAGTTAGGGTGGCACCTGCTGCTTGTATATTCATGGGAGGCAGAAGGGGAAGGAGGAGGAACTGCTGAAAGTCCTATCCGTATTTCCTTCATTAGAATCCCTTTTCAGTGTTTTCATCCTATTACACTTCATTGGCTACCACTTGAGGAGGCTGGCTTTGTAGAACTCAAGGTTACAAAGGAAAGGTGAAAAGCAAACATGAGCTGGCCACTTTTGCTGGCAGAGTACAGTCTCTTAACTTCAGCATATGCACTACTTGCACAGAGTCAGAATTACAGGTCGTTACTGGAGGGGGCATAATCTGTAATTATATTTGCTTTGCCACACAAGATGCCATTTCTGTCTACATATATAGTCTCCCGTGCAGTTGCACATTGGATTTTAGAGCAATTGGCTGTTACTAATTTTCATTGTAAACCAAAAAAGCCATATTTTAGCTGTAGTCTTCTCAGATTTACTCAGGTAATCAGTTTGTGAGGCCAACTAAATATGGAATCCTGCAATGCCAATATCAGGAGCAGTTTTACAGGGGGACGAGCATTCAGACACGTAAAATATCATTCAGTTTCTGGCTTTCTTGGTTCAGACTGACTGGTAATGACAAATATTGATTATTTCACTGGGAGAGAGGAATAAAATTACTTTTAGAATAAGATTAGAAAAATAATTGGGCTATTAGTCTCAAAATGAATTATACATCATAACTAAATGTTGCAGTGCTCCCCTCTAAATCAAATAATAAATACAATTTTAAAGAAGAAAAGCAGTTTTGCAATTTGAATTTAGGCAGAGAGAGGGAGCTCAGAGTTTCATCTGGAGGCAGATGAAACAGAGGCATTCTAGAGGTGCAGTTGTTCATGCAGGATCTCAGGTGCTCCTGCTTAATTTTAGGAATCTACGTGTTATTGGTACACATTAGAAAGGCACAATATATCTACAGTGCCCTTTGTCATGCAATAGAAACTAAGACTGCAATCCTATATGCTGGGAGTCAGCCCCATAAAACACATTGGGGTTTACTTTTGAGTAGACATGTCTAAAATTGCACTGTAATTCCTGTTGCGATATGCCTAGACTTACTGCCCCTTGCTCCAAGCACCATTTTTCTAGAGGCCCTGGGAAATGTGACTTCCAGTCCCTGAAACATCACTTTTGTGCACCTCCTAGCAAGTTTATGGAGGGATAAGGGTGGGCAGTGGTAGGACTTGAGCAG